TAAATAATTTAATCTTCATCTCAGAAGCCCGACCCGGCAAGGAGTACCTTGGGGCATGCAATGATTCCTGTGGGCGTAGGTTAGGGGGATTGAATGGCTAAATATAAAAGCAAGAGGGGATCTTATAGGATATCAAGGTGACTATATCATACCCGAAGGTAAATTACTTGTAAGTTTTCTATTTATCAAACATCTTTTACAATTTAGTTTTATCTTTTATCAAGTAAGATACCGCATGTTCGATCGTGAAATGACCATGAAGTTGACAAGGAGTTTAAAAGGGCGGGATCGGAAGTACATCAGTAGGTTGAGGTAGGGTATGGGATATACGAGAAGTATAAATTCGAATTCCTGGATGAAAACAAAGCGTCCTGATCCTGAACTGTTCCGTTCGACGTTCGATTGTCTAGTCCCATTCCCAACTGCCGATTGCGTGTCAGTACAGAATCAGCTGGTCAGCGGGTATTAATTTCAATATGGCGGCGTTTGCTGATCTTAACGTTCCCTTTCTCGATGATCCACGTGCAACTGAAAAACTGGTTGCTAAAGCTGTTAAACTTGGTTATGAGACTATTGCAGTCTCCAAAACATATATATTCCAGAATGAGGTGGAAAAAGGCAAGAAAAAGGGAAAGAGAAAGGTAACAGACCACGTTGCTGTGACACCAATGAATTGGGATTCTCTTCCTTCCATACAAGACATGAGAAAAAGAAACCCCAAGTTGAAGTTTTACTCCCGGATAACTGTGCCACTAGAGGATCAGACTCAAGTTGCAACACTTTCAAGTGAGCTTGTGCAGTCATTTGATATTTTAGCTGTTCGTCCAACAACAGATAAACTTTATCAGCAAGCTTGCAAGACGCTGGAAATTGACATTATTTCCTTGGACTTAACGAGGAGACTTCCCTTTCACTTGAGGTTCCCAGCAATCCATGCAGCTGTCGAGCGTGGAGTACATTTTGAGATTATTTATTCGACTGCGTTGCGGAGTCCGTCGGAAAGAACCACAGTGTTGTCTATTGCTATGGACCTCGTTTTTTTCACTAAGGGAAAAAACATTATCGTTTCAAGTGGAGCGGAGGAAGAGCTTGATTTTCGTGGACCTTATGATATTGTTAATCTGGGAATGTTGTTTAAATTGAAGGACGAGCAATCAAAAGCGGCAGTTACAAAAAACTGTAGAGCTGTTTTGTTTCATTCTGAGGCCAGAAAGGGCACAGAAAAGTCTATAATTTCAGGGAAACTGCTGTCTTTACACAACAATGAGAATGGAAAGAATTTGGATGGTACCATATGCAATGAACATGAAGTTAGTAAGGATAGTGTTGATCAAAACAGTGTAATTGGAACTAATGGCAATGAAGATAAAGAGCCAAAGGAAAAGAGAGCAAAAATGCAATAGGTATTCTATTTAAAATAGTTTTTACTTGAAATGGCGTTGTTTACAGTGTTCTTTGATTTTGCCCATGATGTCCAGTAGATAATGATAAATGATCTATCTGAGAAAAAATTGTCATCCCGCATTTTCTATACTATGAATATTGGTAAAAATTATTTGTGATGTATCTTGCACATAGCAGTTACATGTTTGCCAAGTGGATTTTGAATTATAGATAAGACAAGTATCAGGTTTAGCAGCCCCTATGACTCACACTCATCACTAAACAACTTGATAATAATAAGATTTACATTTATAACAGAAGGTCTTGCGAGTTCAAAAAGCACCCTAGTCATTGCAATGTGTTACTAGTTTAAACAGCATGCAATAAGAGAAATAACATTCTAAAGGAAACTTGATGATGCAAAAATGAATAATGTGGTTAATTTGTGATATCACAAATGTAATTTTATATTCATCATTAACCTGGCTGGGTTGAGATGACCTGGTTTTGTTGTTTTTTTGTGGGAGGTGGAGAGGAGTAGTTGTAACCACTTCTGAAAAAGATTTTCCTCTTAAGAAAATTAAAAGGTTGCCAGGAGTTACAAAGTCTGTAAACTATTTGCAAGGAGTTTTTGTGCAGTCGGCAATTCCATGTATGTCCATCTTGCCTGCTCAGGTAGCCAATCAGAAGACAGGGTTCTCTTTGTCTCACTTGCAGTCAGCCACAGAAGGAAACTCTGTATATCATCAGTTCTAGTAATAACAGGTTACCAACTTGCTAGTGTCCAATTCAATGCCTTCCTATATAGCAAAGGGATCACCATCTATATCATTTTCATTCCATTTTGCTTTACTCTCCCCCATGTTTTGATGACTGTAACCAATTTGTTATTGTTTGTTTGCCTTCCATTTATGGTTAATTATGCAAGACTGTCACTTAGTCTCCCTAGACATTGCCTTTTGGGATGTCATGCTGTGATTTTTGCTTAGAGTTGGCACTCTGTGACAACCTTGCATGCATCCAAACCACTTTCTTCTCCGAATGTTAGCCAAGCAAAGCTAAGGTTCCACTACTCAAGGACCCTCTCGTTTTATTTGTATCTCAAGTGTCCAATTTGGAGTAAAGAGTCAAATGTATACATACTGAACATTTTGAAAAGACGTAAAATTACTTTTCAGTAACTTGGACACTAATAAACTTACTATTCTCACTCACTCTGTTAAAATATTATTTTAACAGAGTATAGTTCACACAATTAGATGATGAAGCCAACCATTGTCTCTGACATTTATTAACAAGTTAAATAGCAAATAAGTTATCACTCTTGGGTGTGAATATCTCATTTTTATCCCATCATGTATCAACAGATTCTCAGTAATTCATTGTAAATAAATACGAGATTCCTTCACAAGAGTTATACACCAAATGCAAATATGGCACCCAATTTGACTTGCCATTGTTCTGGACTGACTAGCCTCATCTTCACGTGGAAATACAAAAGGATTATTACATGTGTGAGAGGGTAGTCTGTCCAGAACAATGGCAATTCAAATTGGACGCCATATTTGCATTCGGTGTATATTGGTGTGTGATTTGGGCGAACATACAACAATGAACCAACAGAGCGCAAAAGAGCGTGAAGAAGACTGATGATGATGATGATGATGACAACAATGAACCACAGTGGGGACTAAGAGATCTGGTTCTTGAACTAAATACAAAATGTGGGAGTCAGATGGTCAACATACACCTCATACTGTTGTAACTGCCAAATGATATATCAGCCTTTTTACAAGATATTCTCCATTAATAGTAATTTAAAATAAGTCTAAATATGGGTTCTTAAAATGGGTAGCCTGACTTTCTCACAGTTTGGAATTCTGCTACAAAAAAAGTAATCAGCCACTTTAAATTTCACCATCCTGTCATGAGTTCTTTAGCATAATGGAACGGAGGCAGGATCAACCTCCCTTTGGATTTCCTTCTGATATATTCTCAGAAGTTCACTTTTGGTTGCTCTTGTTGCTTTGTGTGGTAAAAGGCAAGCTGTCCCCTAACTGTCCTCTTGCACCTCAGAAGTGTTAACAAGTGTTGCCTGAAACGAGCGCTAGTGAAGCTGTACACGACCGGATTGATGCACGAATTGAACATGGCTATTAAAATAGTGACTTTATGTAGAGGACTGTACATAACCCCGTAAGGAAGGCTATGGGTCACAGTGTACATCACAAGGACTGGTACCCAGCATGTGGCATAGATGATGCTAACAGAGATGACTACTAAGGTTGCTCTTTTTCTTTGCAAAATAATCGTCTTCTGCAAAAGAGAGGATAAAACACTTTTAGCGGCTGTGCTATTTAAACATTCTCAGTATTTACACCTTTCCCCGCTTGTCACATTTTTTGCATGTTTAGGCACCATGCCCTCACGGTGGTCATCCTTATTCTGCCAGTATAAAAGGGATCTAGAAACGTTTGGTACGCAAGCGCTTTTTCTGTTATGCGCTCTTGGCAACATCTTTCTGTATTTGACGACAGAGTTAAAAACCTGCCGTCGTTGTAAATCTATTATCACTAGAAGTATATTGTTAGAAAATCTTTAAGTATCCTTACTAAATGATTGTGTTTCTCTTTCCGATGAAAATTCGCAAGCACCCCTGGGACCTCCTTCGCCACGCTCTTATTTAAGAACGCGATTATCAATCAGTCTTCATTTGACTGGTTTTGGAAGACTGTGCGCTAAAACTTTCTGGAATTAGAGTTTTTATAAGCACTTACAGTGGCTGCAGATTTAACCCGAGGAGTTTTATCAAACCACAAGTGGAAAACCACTTTTGAGTACCAATAACTCATTACAGTGATGGGCATTGTTCCGGCAACTATATCCCAGCCTATGCTGTATGCTATCGGCGATACGGGGCCAGACCAATGCTCTCGACAGTCTCCTAAATCCTCCTTGTAGGTCACGGTCACAAAAAGGGGAATATTCCAAAGGAAGCCTGCCAACCAGCAGCTAGGGATAATAAATTTAAGTTTCCTGTTTGGGATCTCTCCACGGCCAGCGAGGGGCAGCACAACTGCTTGATATCTTGGAGAAATTGTGAAGAACGAGACAAGAAAGTTAAGCTGATCCGATACAAAATAATCTTTGAGAAACTCAGTGTGGAACTGTCTGGACTGATGAATTACTAGTTTTGTCAATTCGGCAACAGCATTAAAAATAGAAGGGTGAGCCTCGATACCAGAGTTTTTGGGTAGGTATGACGCGAAGGTTAGCAGGCATAGCGGGCAGGTGGTAGGGTATTTGTTAAAAGGAAGGAGGAAGGTAGCCTATCGAGAGGGTAGCTAGGTGTGCAGTATTAGGTACGTCGGTAGATAGATAGAAGGGTAGGTACCGTGGGTATCTCAAATGATTAGTTGGCGTGCCACCCTCTGGGTTGACAACCCTCCACTCAATGTAATAAACAGAGATCTTGTTGTTTATCTCTAATTAGTTGCAAGAATGCTGTAAGAAATTAGTGACCATTTTGTTAGCACCAGGCGTCATGGAATTTGGGGGCAAAGGGAGAGACAGACTAGAGTTGTAGAAAATTCAGAAAGCAGTGGAGCGAGTCCAGCTTTTTGTCACTCATTGTGGGTTGGTTGCTAGGTTGGATGGTCGAAAAATTGGTTGATTAGGTCAGAGGTCAGTAGTTTGTTAAGTAACTGGGTAGCTGGTTGTTAGGTGGATAAGTCGGCAGGAACAGTGTTGGTGAGGTAGGTGGGGTGGGTGGGTTTGTAAGTAGCTCGGCAATAAGTAGTCAGATTATGCCAAGTATTCGGGTAAAGCTTTGGATATAACAGTACATCGAGGTAGAATTCTCACCTTTCATACGAAATGGCAACTAGGTTACATATCGATACAAGAGCTGCTGTCCATGTCATGGGGCCCCCTGTGATGAACTTACACAATAAAGCACCAGTGCTTCCGGATGGGTGCTGATAAAAGGGTCCAAGAACGAACTGTATTGCCGTGAAAATGGCCACTACCATGTCTGCAACGGCCAAGTTTAGCAACAGGCGATTCATTGGTGTTCTCATGGACTTGTTTAAAAGTATTACGAGGATAACCATTGTGTTGCCAACAAGGTCCATCAGAACTATGACTGAGAAAGCTACAACAAGACCAACGTCCTCCATTGGTGAAAGATGTAAATCTGGAGGATTGTAAGTGAAGTTTATGTTACAGTACATTTAACAGGTCTATTCTCGACAGGAAAATTCTTTCTAATTATTTTAAGGGATTTATTACATCCATTTTGAAATCACTGGTGGTCCCTGTAATCTGATTGGCTCTAATTGGTGCAATTTATTCCCAAATCACATCATTTTTTGCTCTAAATCGCATCATTTTAGGCTTGACCGAGTTTTCGACAGATGACGTCAGTCTTTCTGTTTTGCACACAAAATAAGATGTAAAAGCGTTTCAGGTTCCACTTTTAATTTAAAAACCGGCCTAGTACTGCATCACTAAAATACTTGAATTGACCAAGTCCTGTATTTAGGGCGATTTCAAAATGATGTAATAATGTAGCAATTGAACCTCGTGTCGCGCAATTTTGGTCTGAAATCATACTTGTGATTTCAAATTGAACTCGCGCTGCGCGCTCGTTCGATTTGGAAATCACGCGTATGATTTCAGCCCAAATTCCACTCCACTCAGTTCAATTACCATTATTTATCTATTTTTATAAATGTTGAATTAGTGAACCAAACCTGTAAGAGAAAGTCGAAACTGAAAAGAGCTCATGGATTTGAAGTTATCTTTCTTGAGAAGGCAAGCATAGTTAATCGTTCATATCTGCTAGTTCAGTTTGTATCGTCGCATCCTATCAAGCAAATGCCGTTTTCCGAGTAAATAAAAAAATAATCACAGAAGACGTCAAACGGCGCTAAAAATGTTAAAGATGCAATTTATTTTGGCTCGTGTGGCTTTCTTTCATAATGGTTTTTATTAAACTGTCATCAGACGATCTTTTTCACTATAAAAAAGGGGAAACCATTCTGATCGCAGTTTTCATGCTTTATAGTTTCATTGGCTATGTAACCGGCTATAGCTCGTATTTGACTTCCTTTTAAGAATTTCCTTACCTGGTTGAACATTTGGTCGAATAAAATGTATTCATAGTAAGTCAAGGTTTATCTTCAATACTACATCAAAAACACAACTTTGACCTTCTGTAAAGGTACAGAGCCCGGCGCGAACTACGTACAGATTTACTCATCCGGTCGATTGTGAACCAACAACGAAACACCGCAGCCTCCGGTAGTAGATTAAAATTGTCATGTTCAATCAAAGTTCAAATTTAGGCCGAACTTTATTAATTTAGGTCGGCTAAACTGATTAGCTCAATTGGTTAGAGCGCTGGACTGTTGTGCGGGAGATCGAGGTCGATGGTTCGAGTCCCGGCCGGACCAACACTCAAGGTCTTAAAATAACTCAGGAGAATGCGCTACCTTCCTATAATATCAAGAAATGGATAGACATTCTAGTCTTCTCGGATAAGGACGAATAAACCGTAGGTCCCGTCTCCTGCATCTATTAATTAGTCAATTTGGTTAGGCAGGGGACGTTAAAGAACCCACTCACGAGATTACTGTGATGTGGTCTGGCCTGTTTACTGGGATTGGGGGGGAGGGGGCTGTGGGAGGTGGAGAGGANTAGCTTAGTTTACTGAACTTTTAATTTTTTTTAGAGAACTGCTTTTTGTGAAATATTTTTAAGGAAAAATCTATTATTATTATTAAGTTAATACCGAAGAGATTCAAAACTTTTCTCTCAGTTAGAGACTTTTTAAACTTGTTTTGTAATATTCATACCATAATTATGATCATCATTATAATTATTATAAGAAGTGTGTATCCATGAGCTTTTTCTGAGATTTTTACTGGACATTTTGACGCATTTGTTTTTGATTCTTAAGCATTTCATCATAATTTTTGTAAATACTTTTAGTGATTATAGTGAATAAAGATTTTATTTTAAAAAAATATTATTATTATTATTATTATTATTAGTCACCCTTCATAATTCCAGCCAAATTTATTTTAATGCATCTGAAGGTTGGCGTGAGAATAAAAGGCGAGCTTACAGCTGTTACCGATGATTTCCGCAGTTGATCTACATTTTAAATTAGGCTCAACCGTCCGAATTCTAACTGCCGTTTGGAAGTGATTCAGACACGAACATAATGAATTCATTGAAATTGATGTCTGGACTGGGTCTCAGTAAACAGTTATAATTTACGACGCAAGAAACTTTGATTTCTCTCTAGAAAAAAATTACCTCGCCAGAACCTCAGTTGACAAAAAGCCGCGATCAGCTACTTTTTCTTTTTTTTTAGAGTAGAAAAATCCCCTTTACAAGCGATTGCTTGAGGGAAAAGGATATCAGTTCTACATGTGAAAGGAAATATTTTTATGATTTCATATGTAATTCATCAGATATCCACCGATACAAAACAGAAAATAACGTGAGTAGTCTCCCATTATGGACTAAAAAGAGAATCATCTGCTATTTCCTTTCCTTAAGCTTAGTGTCTGCCGTCATGATAATTCCATGTACCAGTGTGTGTACTGCATTCACTTACCGATATTTTCAGGATCAAGTTATCCGCATCTCAAAGTTTTTCCGTCTTCCTCCTTTGTCTTCAAACCATGATTGTTTGTTTAATGCTGATTACCTTCTACGACTGCGACTGACATGAAGATTTTCCCTGTCAGTAATCATTAATAATCAGGAAACGCATTGTTCAATTTCTGTTAACTCATTCTGACAAACTCAGTGGGATGGACGAGTAATCTGTCGTGTGCATGATTTATTTATAAGTAAAAACTAAATATTGATAGAATTTTGATCAGTAGCAATGTGAGTAAATGATAATCTGTCACCAAAAGACCCTATGGAAAATCATAAGATTGCCCGCGTTTTCCGGCTTCATTCCAGTTTTGAGAAACAGCTTTCCTCGTATTTCGTTGTTCGTGTCGTTATGTTTGGCTATGTCTCTTGCTCTGGCAGGGTCGAATTCAGCGTCGATGCCCGCATGTTAAAACTAGTCTTTCACACCAGATGTATCATGTAAGACGCGGCTTAAGTCGAACTGAGGAGAAATTGCAAATCACTTCCCTATAACAAGTTACTTTAGATACTCCTCATGTTTTTTGCGATGTCATCTTGTCAATTTTTTTTCTTTAATAATATTTGCTCTTAATGTGTCAACCCCATCGGCCGATTGGTCATTCAGCGGAACGTCGTAAATTTAATTTCCGAAATCAGGTTGTGGCAGATATTAATTACATTGAGATTAACGGAGAAGGGAAATAGTTACCATAAAAGAAGAGGAAGAAGTGACATTAAATTTTTATCTACAGGGTTGTCGTTATCAAAACATCCATTTCTTTGTTTAACTCGTGATGCCATCGCCGATACTGTTTGAATTAATAATTTGCATTCAGTATGTTCTTCAAATTGATAAATTTTCAAGGCAAAATGACTAAAGCGCAAAATTTTGTCTAATGTTTAGCAGAAGAACTCACCGAAATTCACATCAAAATCGGCAGCAGAGAACTTTATTTTCTGAAAAGAGATTTTCAGTGAAAGTTGTTCTGTAAATCATTCCACTAGGTATGCACAACAGCTTCGGACGACAACTTAAATATTTTCTGGTTTCGTTTTAAACAAACTTACTCAAAGCTGTATAAACAGTTTAGACAAACTATTAGCATTTTGGGTTGGTTCCTTATTCGTAAATGTGTTCAGTTGCGTGCAGATATTTTTTTTAATTCATTTCTTTAAGAGAGTGGAAAATTGCCAAAAGACAATCCAGAAACCTGTCAACCGGCATGGCTTTTTTAAAAGTTACTTAACGATATCCAAAATTACTTGATGACCTATGAGTGCACAAAGCCCAACCTATGACTGCAGAAAGCCCAGCGTATGACGGCCAAAAACACTCGCACATGTCTAAATGATACGTACTCTTAAATATACGAAATACAGTAAAACGGAGCGAAGTAGAGAAACGGTTGCTAAATTAAAATTACAAACAATAACTCTACAATTATACTTAATGAAATCGACAGACGAGAAAACAAAATAATGCACAATAAAGACACTTACAAACGTTATACGAGATTCCGGCACAATACCGACTCATTGAGACGATACATAACGAAAAGCAATGGTTGAGCGCGGTTTAACACCAAAGAAATTCTACTGATATACAAACAAAGAGAAATTTTTCAAAAAAAGGGTAACAGAATACCGTAGAAAACAGTCAGCGTAGAAAATGCGATGAAAAGAAACGAACGAACTTAATGAAAATGTGGCAGAAAGAAAAAAAAACAAGAGATACAAATTCAATAAAAAATAATGTCACAATTTTTGGCTGCAACACAGCGGTTTTATCATTAGTAATTGTTCCTTATATTTTATGAACCAAACCAGAAAGGGAAAACCGAAGCTGAAAAGAACCCATGGTGAAATGGAGTTATCTCTCCTAAGAAGGAATACATAGTTATCGTATACATCAGCTAATTTAGCTTGTATCGACGTTGCATCTTAACGAGCGAATGCCGTTTTCCGACAAGATGAAATCGGTACATTTTGTACGGGTACCTTCACAAAATGATGAACGTTAATGCTCCGAATAATGAAATACTTGCTCTCGGAATAACGCATGACTTTAAATACGAGGGAATTTCGTCTACATCTCCACCATAACAAGTTTACAAGTTGAAAAAGAAGTGAGAGGAGAACGATTCATGCATGGAAAATGAAGTAATATCGCGACGTTGCTTAAACCTTTCAACTTTCAGGTGCAATTTGTTTCCGTCGTTCTTGCAGATTCCCAAGGAATGCAGTTTAGGCATCATCCACTGCTTTCCATTGTATCACAGTTCTAGTGGACGAGACATTACATCTAAGTACTTCCCAAGAGTTTCAAAGGACCCTACAACCTTAATCAACTTTCGCGGGAAGTTTCAATCAGAGAACGTCTTCATAATTTATAAAGACTGACTTACAGTGCACAAATTCAAGTTTACTTTCGCTCGCTTTTCAGTCGATCAACGGTCGATTGACTGTTAAATAGCGTTCATATTGAATTCAAATTTTTTGAAACAGTCCAAGAACAGTAGGATGCCAATAACTGTAAACCAAGAAAAATTTGAGACGTCGTAAGGGTCTATTCTAACTACAGACAAAACCAATAATGCAGGATTCACGATTTCATCAACCGTTGATGTACAGAATAACGTTGGCCTAATGGGAGCTTGGTATATATCGGCCATAAATAGCAACTTTGGTAACACTCTTTTAGGGCTATCACGTTACGGTCAAGCTCGTAACTAAGTAATTTATTTGTCCGACTTCCAGCAGTTCTATTTGAGAGTACGTGCTGAGGGTCCAATTTCCTTCTCCGGAGGTGAATTCCGTTTTCTCTTTACATACGTCTCGCGTAAATGGGATTTTGAGCGGACAAAATGCTTACAATTTTGTCAGTGATCTTATTCGGAGGAACAGTTGCTTTGGCAAACAGGTAAGCTGCTAACTTACTGACTTAAAGTGCTCATGTTGTCATTGTTCGTATTGTTTCTTGATGGATGACATTGATTCAGTTATCGTCATTGCAATGATAGTGGAGAAGGATGCTTCTAAGTTTCTACTGAATTAGGACTGAGGAAAGTGAAAC